ACCCGGTTATTGTCCACTGCCATTTTATGCCGTATTTGTAGCTATATGTTTGGGGCAGATAACCATCCTAAAGCCCGGCTGTGCGTTTTGGGTTCCATTTACACTACAGATAAAAGCGATCGTAAGTTGGTCTTTTGTTTAACACAGCCCTATCGTTTCTTCTTCCAATTAATTGTAATTAATATTACATAGTGTGAACGAGATTTGAAGACTCGAACAGTAATTTGTCGAAATTGTTTATATGCCCTCCCCCGACAAGACACAAGAGTAGCAACACCTCCCTCACGTAATGCAGATGGTTTTGCGCCAAATTTGAGCAAGGGGATATTATCGTATGCGAATCTCAACACCAGGCCTTATCTGAACCCTAATCCTTACCTAAAATTTGACCGAAGCCCTAACAATAACTGCCGAAATCGAAAATGGATTACCCTCAAGCAAATAACCGATGACATCGTTGAAGTCAATGCACATTTTAGACTAGACGACTTCTGACAATCCACAACAGTCAATAAGTTCTTTTTGCACATCGATGGATTCGGGTTCCTTCCCGAAGGGTTTAACAACTCTGCACATGGGCGTTCAGACAACTGCCCCATTTTATCAGCTTCCCCTCCTTTTACATAATTCTTGTCTTCATAAAAGAAGGCAGTCTGGCTTTAGGTAAAATGACCTCGGTAAATTAGTCCAATTGAACAATTTAGCGGCCTTTCGTCCTGTGTAGAACCACAGAATCTTTTGGAATTTTCAAATTGGCTAACATCTCCCAAGCTGCCCTTCCCCATTTCAGCTGAACTGTTCGCTTTAATAAAAATGGTTTTGTTCCGATTTCGGTAGCGCGCTATTAAAAAGTTACTGACCTCTAGAACTAGAGCAGTTAGGTAAGAATATAATTGTTCGAACGCCCAGTAGTCACGTCCCATGCCTACTTGAATGACAATTTATAGGAGTAGGCCTGTTTCCGTTATGCATCTTTCATTTCGCGCAACAAAAATCAAACTGGTTTATTAGGTATGCATTTTCAGTACTGTTTGAAGACTACTCTCTTTTGGATGTATAGTCCTGCTTAGCGTCCATTAAGAGAGGAAAAAAGGAGAGCGCGAGAAGGCGATACGTTTTATTTTGAAGTTATAATGCCAAATGTTTCAGCCACCAAAGTTCTCCATTCACGAGGGATAAAATCGATACCCCTAAACAGATAACGCGGGAAGGCCATGAGTGCTAAATAATTGCCGAAGACTGTAACTGTCAGCATCAGGAACCATCGCTGGTGCCTGAGTCACAAA